TCTACTAGTAACCTTCAACAGAAAGTACAATAAGATTCCATTTGTTTGGATGTAAAATATTTTATAGAAAATATTTTTTTATTTTTTGGTATTTGATTGTCGTAAAATATTTACGAAGAAAAAAAAATTAAAATCTAAAAAAAACAATTTACCTATCAATTTTCGACAAGTTATTTTACACACTTCGCCCAATGAACTCGACCTAGACTTTAGTGAAATGCTGAAAAATAAAAATAAAAATAAAAATTTACCTGAAAAAAAAAAATATTTTTCATCGAAACAAATGCTGCCTAAATTGCAAGCAATTTGACAATTAGGAGTTTTTTCCTACACTGAGATCAGGCCGGTAAGCATGACAATTTTGGTGATAGCATGTAATACTTTTGGAAATGAAATTGGTAATTATATAAAAGAACTGTACAAAGCCCAAAATTTAGCCCAATGAAGAGGAGAATCAGGCAGCTGGCCCAAGATGCAAAACAATGACATAAGTCCTAAAACAAAGGCACTAGGCCTAACCCATGGAAGCCCAAGCCCCAAACAAAAATAATTCAAAATCCAACCGTTGGGAAATTTGGATTCTAATTTTTGGAAATGAAAACAGCAAAACATACATCCACATTATTTCCTAGGTCTCCAAAGCTCAACTCCCCCTTTGCGGAGCAGAGAATATACTATTTGGCCTCGAACATTCAACCACTCATTTGATGACAGAGGCTCAACAGGTGTTAGCTTATTGAATAGTGGATTGACATGTAAGAAAGGTGCAATGATATAGAATTTCCTAATGTCGGGGAATTTTTCAAATAAGACTTAAAGTAAAAACATGCTTGTAAATTTTCTAAAAATTCCTCCTTGTACGTACACTTCCATCAATGATGATAGACAATATAAATCTGAATCACTTATTTTAATTTGAAGTATTCTAGCGAAAAACCTATAGGTAAAATGTAAAATATAAAAATGCTTCAAAAGCAATACTATATATATATATATATATATATATATATATATATATATATATGGATCAAGTGCAAAAAAACACCCCCTATAGTATGTTTATAGTGCATGTTAGTGCATATTGCACCCTTCACGTGCAAAAAACATTCCTAAACTATGATATTTGTGCAAATAAGTCATACTTACACATTTATGACTAAAATGCCCTTAGCTATACATTTAATAATATATATAAAAATTAGGGATAATTTCACTGACACCCCCTGAGGTTTGGCCAAATATCAGTCTAAAATATCTTCCGAAAATAACTATCACTTAGATCCATTTTCGCTTTTCCGTCACAGTCTTTGTTAAAAGCATGTGAAAAGACAACTTTGCCCCTATTTTTTTGATAACATATATTTCAAAATATCATATTAGTTAAAAGACAATTATACCCCTGACAATGAATGAGCATTGGGTAGATGGTGCTGTTGGCCGTCGTGGTGGTGGTGGGTGGTGGTTCCAAAAGTTGAGTGTTGCAGAAGAGAAAGAGAAAGTGTAAAGAAAGATTGGTGGTTGGTGGTCGGCGATGATGGGGGGTGGTGGTGGTGGTGCCACCGGCGACTGTGGTTGCATAACCCAAACCCATTTTTGTTGTGTTAGAGAAAATGATATATTTTCCAAATTTGGAATAACCAAAACAAAATTTTGATTAGAAGTGCCTCCAATCCAGTCCCCAAACACTGTAATTGATTATTCTGTTTTCATATTGGTGTGTGTGATAGAGAGAGAAAGAGATGAAGATGAATTAGAGGTTTTGCACCAAACATGCAGATCCACTAATAAAACCACAAAATTGATCACAAATCAACCAAGCCACACAAGAACACGGCGGCGATCTGTGACCTTCCACTTTCAATTCCAGCGACGGCGAAGAGAAGCGGACCGGACAATGGCGACGATGAGTAAACTATTCGGTGAGGACCAGCCGATCCACAGCCATCCTCTCCACCGCCGGCCACCATCATCCAAAGCTAAGCTCGCAGCCGTTAAATCCCGCCGGTCGCCATCAAACCCAATCACGGCCACCGGAATCGCGACTTCTTTAGTTGCTGATTCAATGCCGTCCCGAACCAGCCATCTCCACCGGCCGAGCACACTACCGTCAATGTTCCGAGCACCGCCGCAAGCTCACCGCCGCCTTCTTCATAGCTGACACCATCAAACCATGGCAAATACAAGCTCAGCACCCCGTCGCTGGAATTACGCCACACGCGCCGATAGACATCTTCTTGAGGAGAGCAGTCGAGGAGTGTTGGAGGTCCTCTTTACGGCGATCAACGGTGATTGGTGGTGGTGTTGTGCTTGTGTGTGTGTGTGTATGTATGTATGTATGTATATATATATATATATATATATATATATATATATATATATATACTCCTATATATACACACAGAGACATATATATATATCGACGGTGATTGGTGGTGGTGTTGTGCTTATGTGTTTGTGTGTGTATATATATGTCTTTGTATGTACCGATCAGCAGGAGGAAACAAAATTAAGTTTTCTGCCTTCTTGTTACCATCTTCTAGCTGCATGACACAAAGCAATAATTTAAGATATACCTAAATTGGGGAGTCAGTGTATTCATTCAACTAAGTGATCATCTTTCCAATGAATCGAACCTGAGAATCACCAGGAGAAAACGCGAAGCAACGCTAAACAAGAGAGGAAGTGTAACCTAAACACGCAGTGGAGAATTGCTCGACGAGGGAATCGAGATCGGGCGAAGCCGGACAATGGCATATTCCGATAACGGCGTATATAACATAATTTGTAAATTTACAAATTTTTAAGGAGCCATATTGTCTTTTAATACTGATATTTTGTAAAAAAATAAATTAAAAAAATGAGGGTAGACCAAAGTCAAGGGTTAAACTAAAGTCAAAGGGTAAAAATGTATTTTTACATGTAAAAGTGATCTGACACACCTGTAAACTAACTTTTGGGGTGTGAGTGAAAAACGGAACAAACGTTTGTAATGTGAGTGATAATTATTTTCGAAAGATGTTTTAGACTGATATTTGGCCAAACCTAAGGGGTGGTGAGTGAAATTATCCCTAAAAATTAATATGTTGTGAAATGACTAAAAAGTGCAATCTATGCACCATCACCCGGAGAAGAGAAGATGACAACCCAATTGGTGCCAATTCACCTTCATCAACGAGGCCTTGATTAATATCAAGTTCAGAAGATAAAAGAATCCTCACAACAACGCAACTATTTTCTAAATGGCACCATCCAGTGGCCAAAAGCATGATACTAATGTTCACATGTAATTTAAAAAGTTCTCATAACTTAAATATCCAGAGAGGAAAATAAATACGCAAAAAGAAATTCCATAGAAAACATTGTCCAACAAAACCAACGGAAAAAAATTCGAAAGGAAAAAGGAAAACATAATAAGAAATAAGGTCATCTTTTGCTTGGAATTTGAAAGATGAATCTGTCTTGTGGTCAGATTGCAGAGGTCCCTGTCGGCGCCGGAGGTTTCATCTTCTGTGTGGCCGTTGTCGTTGCCTTTGCCATAGTCGTCTTGAGAGCTTCAGTCTTGGAACAATTTCATGGAGCTTCGAGACCCAGTTCCACGGCAATGAAGAAGGCTTCAATCTCCCTCATAAAATAGCCCAGTAATGGGCTATTTTTGAATTCAAAATAAGGGAAAAATGACCAGCTCTTGGTTTTAGAAAAACACTTCAGAAATTCCATTCTTTTCAAAGAACGATTCATTACTGCCTGTGCTAGTGACAGTCGTCATCTTTGGGATTTAATGAAAAGGTTGGTGACCAAAGGATATAGATGCCATTTATACACCTATGGGTGTAAGTCTAGCTACAGGAGACTTTTCTTGAGATGTTTCGCCTCCGGATATGGATTTCTTTCTGATGTCTGCTGCTCACGAACTCGCTTTGCCTGGTGGTTGCGGTTTTGGGGGTGGAGGGTAAGGGTTGGTAGGGGTATTTTTGGAAGATTAAAAGGGTAAAATAGACATTATATTAATTGAGGGGTGTTTTCGCACAAATTGAAAAGAATATGGATGTTTTTTGCACACCTTTTTAAATAGAGGGTAAAAATGTTATGAAATGTATAGTAGTTTTTGCACTTACCTCATATATATATATGGTAGATCTTGGTGGGTACACCAAGGAATAGTTAAGTCACTAGGTTTCAATGAGGTTTGGGCTTCATTACATGTCCTGATTCACAAGCACAAAAGGTACATTTTCTTCTATCTAGCTTGTAAGTAGCACTCTGATTATTTATTTATTTATATATTTATTTTCTTTCTCTCTGTTTCTTTTATTTCATGGAATGAGTCTACCCTATCAGTCTTTCTTCACAATAAATCATAGAAAAGAAGAAAAAAACAAAAAAAATCTATATCATTGTTTCCAAACAGTTCCTATAGCCCACAAATCATGCCTAAATGGTGTGTGAAAGTAGGGTCAAATGTGTTTGCCACATTGTTTCTTTTATTAGTTGGATCTAATGCTTATAATAATTACTCTTATCAAACCTGTGATCATAGAAAACTAAAAAGAAAGTCATTTCCTTTCACACAATGAAGCATTTAATCCAAAAAAAATCTATAATTAAAGCTCTTTCTTTACTTGGTTTAAATCTACATTTAACCAAATAATTCACCCAATTTGAACCCGACTAAAATGCTCTTGGAGCCAGGTATATGATGAGATTTGGAGGAGTTAGAGAGAGTAATTTTGTTACTTCATATTTCATCTCAAACCATTAACAAGAATGTGCCATATTTCATCATGCAAATTCAGTTAAAATGGGAGTGAGAGCCCCATGCTTTTCTCGCCTCCACGCTTGTTAAACCTTTAAACTCATCTTCTTCTTCTTCCACTCCCTTACCCTCATCAAGACCTTTGCGAAAGAGGTTCAAAGCTGCAATGCTTGTATCTTATTGACCATCTTCATTTTCCTTTTACATTGTTTAACATTTTATGTAATTTTTGAATGCTAGGATAAAGATGGTTAGAACTCCTTGCTGCGACAAACAGAATGTGAAGAGGGGTCTTTGGACTGCCAATGAAGACGCGAAGATGCTTGCATACGTGTCTAAGCATGGAACCGGTAACTGGACAGCCGTTTCAAAAAAAGCAGGTTCATTTGAAAGTTCTTGAATCCTGTTATGGATTTGAGAAAATTAAGTCTTCTGGAGTTGTGTAATTCCAAGGACTTAAAAAACCAAATTCGATTTCTCAATGGTCATTGTTGTTTGAATAGACGAGTCTGTTTTACAGGTCTTAGGAGATGTGGAAAGAGTTGCAGGCTAAGGTGGACTAATTACCTGAGGCCTGATCTGAGGCATGAGAGCTTCACCCCACAAGAAGAGGAGATGATTATTAGGCTTCATGCAACCTTTGGCAGCCGGTGCGTTTTTTAACAAACTTTATGTAATATTTATCCTTTTATAACATGTTTAAGATCGATTTCTATATTTTTTGCTTTGTTGATTCGTGGTACTGCTTAGGTCTTTGAAGAAAAATAGGATTTTTTTATCATCAAATTCTGCTAGCTAATTGTCACAGAAAAAGGGCAAATATGCTGGATATGAATTGGGAAGGCATCAAATTCCCAATTTACTAAAATAAGAAGACAAAAATACTCTATATTTTTATGAAATGTCAACAAAAAAAAAAAAAAACACGAAAAAAAAGTCGTGGTGGTGTCTCAATTTTCTTGAGTGATATGCAACTGTTTTCAAAAGTATGTTATCTGTTTTTTTTTTGTTTTTTGTTTTGTTTTTTTATTTTTCCACTTGGTAAGGAAAGCAAGTTATCCGTTGCTGGTGCAAGAATTATGAATCTCCAAAATATCACATAGTTTGTGTGGTCCAGGTGGTCTATAATAGCCCAACAACTTCCAGGGAGAACAGATAATGACGTGAAGAACTGCTGGAACACAAAGCTTCGAAAGAAGCTCTCCGAAATGGGAATTGATCCAGTTACTCATAAGCCCTTCTCCCAAATCCTAGCCGATTATGGAAACATCGGTGGCCTCCCAAATGCCGGAACCCCAATAGGATCTCTCAATAGAGACTTGAAGAATGCATTGATGTTGAGATCAGAACAATCACCGGTCCAGCCAGAAGGTTTTCCAAACTTCAACAGCCATTTGATGGCAACAGCAATAACATCGTCACCCATAACAGATCCAAACCAGCCTATCTTCTTGAGCAACAACCACAACTATGATAGGTCTATGGACCTTCTTGCTGAGCTTCAAGCCATAACACTCGCCACAAAAGCCTCAAACCGAGCCAACCATAAAGCCATTTCACCCCAGTTCTGTGGTGATCACAGCTATTCTTCATCATCAGCATCGTCTTCTTCATCGACTGTGAACCAAGTGAAGTCCCCCCTAAGCTTTAGCTGGCGCGATTTTCTTCTTGAAGATGCATTGCTACCACCTGCTAATGCACAAGAACAAGAAAATAAAGTGGAGCTTTCATCCAATGGCTCCTCAAGCCAGACAAATAATGAGATACTCCAAAGTGACGATGCAACGAGAAAAGGAAAAAGTACTTGTAATGCAGTTGAAGAAAAGGATTACACTAAATTCCCGAAAAACAGCTTTAAAGCTTCATCGTCTTCTGATTGTTCATTTGTGGAAGCCATGCTAGATCAGCAGAATCATGACATGCTGCTGGAGTTCCCTGCCCTTTTTGAAGACTCATTCTTCTATTAAGTTGCCACCAAAATGGAGGCCTATATGAGTACTAGTCATTGTTGATAACAAAATTAGAATAAGGACTCTAAAAAATCTCCTATTATGATAGAGTTATCAGTTTGTGTTACTTTATAGTAGATACGTTGTATGACTGGATAATTTTCATCAACCAAAAGGTGGACTTCGTATATATTCATCTACTTGAATGTAATGGAATTCCAAGAAACACATTGATTCATATTATGATATGTTCTTTTTCCTTGAAAATTGCTTCAAGCGCGTTTAATTTGAGCTTTTATATTTGAACTTGTGCAAAGACTATGATTTTTGAGAAGCCTTCCAGAATTGGATGATAAAACTGACCTTAAGAACTAGTTAGTAGTTAAGGAGTACGGATATCGTCATCCTTCAGTACTTATTCATAGTGGGATTGAAAACTAGATTTAGCATAGATAACTGATCTTGGCCATGGTAATTGCCCAATTCACTGATCTTTGCCATGGTAATTGCCCAATTCAATAGTATGCATCAACATTAATAATTACCCTTTGCAGTATCGATTTTGAACATTATTGTAATGACCAGAACCCGGAGGTCCGAATCATCATCCGAACCTTAACCGAACCTGAGGTCATCTAAAGGCTACACGGTCATTTCCATGGTTAAAATATCGATTTTGAACATTATTGTAACGACCACTCGAACCTGGAGGTTCGAATCATTATTCAGGTCCTTAACCGAACCCGAGGTCATCTAAGGGCTACACGGTCATTTCCACGGCTAAAATATAATTAATACACAATACTCGTTCATGTGGTGCACAACGTATCATTGAATAAGCTGAGAATGGACAAAATGGGAAAAAGAAAAGAAAGAGGAAGGCTACAAGACTCGGTCGACGTGTGCAGGCCTACACGTCAACCGGTTCAGCCTGTAGGGGTGACAAATTACGACACGACACGAGTTAAAAGGGTTTGGGTTTGCCATAAATGGGTTTGGGTTAGAAAATGGTTGACATGATTAACCCGTTTACTTAACCGTGTCGGGTTAGGGTTGAGGGGTTCAACCCATATAATCCGTTTATGACTCATTTAACTCAACATGTTATAATCGTAAATATGACCTATGTACTATGTTACATGTTTAAATGACTATGAATAGTTAAGTCATTTCAACATAAACCTTGTCTATGCTTTATAATTTTTCTTTTTATTTTGAATATTTGGGTTAATTATGACAATTTTTTTTTTTTTTATTATTTAGTATTTGATTAAATATTAAATGTTTCATTTTGATAAACAGGTTAACACGTTTATCTGTTTAATAAATGGGTTGGGTTAGTGTTAAGATTCTTGACATAATTATTAAATGGGTTGGGTTTGGATTTGCCTATTTAGTATAATACCTTTACATCGACATGACCAGAAGACGACCCACAAACACGAATTGCCACCTTAAGGTTTAGGCCTTTCGGTTATGTCCCTACACAGTAAATTGGCTACTGCCAAAAATAAATAAGATACCGGTTGACACCGGGTCACCACACATCGACTAGTTCTCTGCTAAAAATGTTTCCAAGGCTTGTTTGTGTGTCTTGAGTCATTGGTTAGGTTCAATTATGAGCATGAGTATGATGAAAACTTGCCCCAAAACATGCATTTAACCGAAAACAACCACAATTTAACATTCGTGCATTCATATAATCATCATAACAAGCTTGATACATCAAATGTAGTCAAAATAGATCCGATTACATCATAAAATGGCCATGAAGCCTTATGTGGGATTAGAAATCCTAATAAGATCACAAAAGGCAAAAGAATGGTCTCAAAACTATTTCCATCGACAAAATGAAATCAAATAGCAATTAAGTACAAGCTTGTAGCAAAATAAATACATGATCCGTCATAAGTCCCATTTACCACAAAAGATACAAACTTCAAAATGGATTAAACGGGTAGTCAACAAAAGAAATCCACGATGCCATCATGGGAGAGGTTGTGAGTCGTCCATTACCTTTTTTTTCGTTTCCTGAAAAATATCAAGTAGAAGAATGAGCACAACGGCCAGTAAAGACTACCTGGGTGGCATCTCCTCAAGCAAGGTAAGAAATCTCATGCTTTACACTCAAAGAATAGAGCAGTGATACGGGGTCATGCTTGGGATCTCATAAAATTTCATTTAAGTCATCAATGGCCATCAACATCAAAATAACACAATTTCAAAAATACATCCAAGTGCGTATAGGGATCCTCTGTTGCATACCCATGGAAGGTAGGAAGCATTTGGATCATAGCAGGCTTGATCTCAAAATGGGTTGAATCAGCATCCGGAAATACAAAGCACGAAGGAGAAGTGTATGTGGTCCCTCAATTGTGGTTGTGGAAGGACAAAAAGAGTCCATCCTCTATTACCATTACCATTGCCATTACCCGGTGCATCACACTTATTAGCTATGTTTTCAGAGGAACTTCCTATAGTATTTAAATGTTTTTTAAGTTTTCTTAATTGACTAAGAGTTCTCTTTATTTCAGGATCATGCACTGACGGTTTTGACTGAGAATGACGAGTTAACATGCATTAATACCACCAATCCTAAAAGTGACAAAAATAAAATTTCCCAAGTAAAAGAAAATAGTAAAAACTCACAGAAGGTTTAATAAACCGAAGCTTTTATCCCTTAAGCGTCTTTGTCCTCATTGCTAATTTCATGTACCTGGAAAGAAAAAGAATTAAGGTGAGATATCAGAAAGTCCGAAGATTGGTAAACCAAAATAAACTAATTAAAAACTAAACTAAATAACAAATCTCCCCAGCAATGGTGCCCAATGATAAGTGCTTAAATGTTGCACATTTCATCACCTAAGCTAAGGTATTTTAGTCTTTGCATTTATCTTAATTTTATGTTTTAGTCCTAATTTATGTTTATGTGTATTTCAGGGCAATAAAGTTAAAATGAGCTAAGAACGGTCCAATTAAGCCTTTTTGAAGTTAAGCAAAGATTTTCAGACAATGGCACAAAGCGGTCAATTTCGGGCCTTTGATGATGTTCCCAAAGATGGAGAAGCAAACCAAATAGCCGGGGACAAAAATGGAGCTGAATAAGGCTTAAAGGAATTTGTCAACTCTGGGGGGATCGATCCCCAGGGTGGGGGATCGATCCCCCAGGACTTAGCAACATTACAGTTTTTATTTAATTTTTGGACTCATTTTGGGAACTGTTGGGCTTTAATGAGATTGTTACTTAAGGCCCAGTGAGCCATTAGATTAGGGTTAGTTTTAGTTTTTATTTAGGTAAAGATTATTAGAAAAAAAAGTTTGATTTTTTTATTTCTGTATCGTAGTATCGTATTTTCTCTCTGGAAAAACACGCGAAGAAAGGGAAAAAGAAGATTAGGCTAGGGTTTGGAAGAAAAGTTCAGAGAAGATGAAGCAGATGATGGGGATTGTCCTGTCTTCGACTCCATCAACCATGAGTGGCTGATTCTTCTACTTAGGGTTGGATAAACCCTAAGCATGTAACCTATTCTCTCTCTCTTTTCATACTTTTTGGGGATTAATTTATGTAATTAGTGTATAGTCTTGAATATTATGAATTAAATTCTTCCAATTGATTATCTGTATTAATCTCATTTTGTCTTATGTGCGGTTGATTGATAAACAAATTTTACACACGAATTCTTTGTTAATTAATTCTTGTGATGGCTATGCATGGTATTGCTTAGTTGTAATTGTGTTTCAAATTGATGAAAAATGCTTACATTTGATGGATGGTACTACATGTTTAGGTTAATTTGTTGTTTAATTAGTTTTAAATTCATGTTTAATTAGTTTAATTTAAGTTTAATTAATTTAATTGCAATTCAATTATTAGGTAAGTAGACCATCCATACTTATGTTTGAATTCCATACTTTTTGTCACAATTGCATTATCTTCTAGATTAATGTGTGTTAAATTTGTAACTTGGATTGATAAATCATGCTTTGAATGGGTGAATTGCACTACACTTAGTTTAATTGTCATTAGGTAGTTGATTCATGCTTGAAATTGATGGTTTACACTTTTCATTGCTCTTGTTAGCCACATATAGATTACATAGTATTATGTCCCCAATTAGTTGAAAGTGAATGAGTTAGGGAATGTGCTTAGTGGTGAATCCTACACCCTAAGTCTCTTTCCAATCTCTTAAACTCTATTTCTTTATTGCAATCATTTAGTTTAAAATTAGTTTTAATCACAAACAAAACCCTTTTGGCAATCACAGAAGCACTAAAGTATAATTCAATTCTGGAAAACCTATAATTGTTTAGATCTCTTGGGACGATCCCTGCTCACTTCATACTCCATAGTATAAGTGTTTAGTGGTTTTATAAATTTTAAAATATGGTGCCCACTTGACATTATTTCTAAACCTAAAGTGTTGTGCATTATTTTGTGCACACGCTCGGTCGCACCATAGTTTTGGCGCCGTTGCCGGGGATCTAACTGTTTTTTAAAGAATTGAATTAGACATTAGTTCTTTGTTGATTGTTTACTTTTAAGTCATTTTTATTTTTATTTTCTCATTTAATGTGCAATTAGGTATTTGATACAAGAAAGGTGAACATTGGAGCTTAAAGCAATCATTGGAATTTGGAGTTGCTTAAGGACCTTTGTAAGCAATTCTTACCCTAATTGTTCATTTTTCTATGCTTGCGAGATAGTCCTTGTTGAGGCTTTCATAATGCTTAAATATTTTATCCAAGCATAGGTCCTTGTCGAGGCCATTACTTTCATTGTTATATGCATGAGCCATTGTCGAGGCAATTATTTTATGGTTTTTGGATTGTGAATGTGAATGGAGCTCTTATTTGATCCAAGTTTGGGGGAAAATTTTACCCTTTATCCTTATGCATCTCCATCATATCATGATCCTTATGAGAGTGAGTCCAATGCATTTCATGAATCATCATCATATAATGGACTTGATCACTCTTATGACTACTACCCTCCCCCACCATTTAATGAAGAACCATCTCCATTACCTTACTCTCTCGGATTTGAAAATAAAATGTTAGCTCTAATTGATGAACTTAATGAAAGGAGACAACTTATTAATTATCATTCTCATAAGCTAGCGATGCTAAAAGCTCAAGTTGAGGAAATTGCAAGTACTCTTTCTCGTCAAGAGGAAGAGGAAGAAGAGGCAAGTCAATTAATGAC